GATGATGACAAAACCTTGTCGAAACGTTGAACATTTGCTGTTATATTAAAGTTTTTCTTCATTACCCATTCAAACCGTCTCCAGCCATTATTAACAACAAAAATTAATATAATGCCATAGAAAAGTAACCAGCTTGTATCATTTGACAAGTAGACAAAAATTAACAAGTTTCACATGAGCAAGCAAAGTTCTTCGATAAACTAAAATGTTTAGTAAACTTTGATAGTGGATTTAAGCAATATTCTTTGTAAAAATGTATGGTATTTTGATACGTAAAACATAAGCCATACATTGCATGGTCTAACTTATGCAAGCAAATTACAGTTAGTCTTTCTTGATAAATAATGCATATTTCAGTTTAGGACTTTAAGAAACGCATGTGCTTTTATATTCAGATTCTCAACGTAAAAGATAAAGAAAATAATTTCACTGGAAGTTAACGAGAAACTGTACAATGAGATCAGAATGGTAGCTGCTAAAGAATCGTTATTATAGGAGATTTTAATTTCAAGGGTACTGATTGGGAAAATTTCGAGTCTAACAGTGAGGGGGATAGGTTTTAGGAAATTGTTCAGGATACTTTTATACACCAACTGATGATGGAACCTACAAGAGAGGAATCTATATTAGATTTAATTTTAGCATCCGATGTGAGTATAATAAACAGAATTGTGGTTGGTGAGCATCTAAGTACAGGCGACCATTTCACTATTAGGTTTGGGATTTTACTACATGTAGAATTAAAGAATTATAGTACTGTTACGACAGCGGGGGTCACGTGACTAGTATTCTAGAAGATTCGCGATAAACGCTAGTGTGTTACGACAGCGGAAGTCAAGTGACGCTGGTAGCACGTGTTGAGAGCCTAGAAGATTCTAGAAGAGGCGGTATTATCGTATATAAGTGCGCTAGACAGAGAGAATGGGGAACCAAGGACAGGCAGTTACGGTCGGATTCTAGAAGAGGCGGTATTATAGTATATAAGTGCGCTAGACAGAGAGAACGAGAGAATGGGGAACCAAGGACAGGCAGTTACGGTCGGCGGGAACCGAGGATAGCAGATACAGAGATCGGAACTATAGTTGCTGACAGGCGGAGATAGAGACGGACAATTGAGTTAAGCGCGGTAGAAAGTGAGTGAATTGTTGTGAACTACTGTGTGTGTAACTGTGAAAATTAAGTGTACTGCAAAGTTGTATTGAGGAAGAATAAACAAGTTTTATTTAAGAAAGGACTTGTATCGTAGAAAAAGTAACGAAAAAACACACAGAGTCATAACAAATTGGTGTCAGAAGTGGGTTAGAAAAAAAAAGAAGATGGAAACGAGAAGCGGCAAATCAAACTACAGCTTAGCAGATTTGATGGCAGCAATACAAGAACAGCAAAAGAAACAAGAAGAACGAGAAAATAAACAAGAGAGACTACAGCAGTGGTTGGAGGAGAAAGAAAAGAAACAAGAAGAGAGACAACAGCAGTTGCAAGAAAACATGCAGCAGTGGCAGTTCCGACAACAAAATAAACAAGAAGAGAAAGTACAGCAGTTGCTGGAAGAAAAAGAAAAGAAACAAGAAGAGAGACAACAGCAGTTGCAAGAAAACATGCAGCAGTGGCAGTTCCGACAACAAAATAAACAAGAAGAGAAAGTACAGCAGTTGCTGGAAGAAAAAGAGAAGAAACAAGAAGAGAGACAACAGCAGTTGCAAGAAAACATGCAGCAGTGGCAGTTCCGACAACAAAATAAA